TACAATCGTAAAAGCACAATACACTTATATTGTATTGCGTTAATTCTTGTAAAGCTTAACATATTTCAGCCTTTGGCAATAATGAATAAAAACCTTTCAGGTGGATGTTAAGTCATTCTGTTAACATCTGCATAATCTAACTTCTCACCTATTATATATCTCTTAGTTTCTGAGCCGAATTCATTCCTTACCAGAATAGAAAACATCGACTGATCATACCGGTGACAACCACTAGCTGGTTTTTCTGGAAATTTAGAACCACAATATATCGTGGACCCTTTGGGTATGATGCAATCCTGAACAAGGCTACAAAGTATCGCCCATTTAAATATAAACTTACGGATCTCGGGGGTGTTAAAAGTTATGAATCCAGTTGCCTGGGGTTGATTAAACTTCATTTCGTGCAAGTTATTCATTGGCAAATATTCAAACATCCTTGGTTGGGTAGCAGACAAAATGTTATGCCTATTTGGATGCAAGTAGTAAAGAAATCCGGAGCTGCTGTTCACCATTTGTTCGAGTAATTTAGTGTATGGCATTCTGATTTTCACGCTAGAATCCATCCACAATACTCCTCCTCGTTCTGCAAGTACTTGCTGGATGACGAGTGGTTTAAAAGCATACGAGTGTAAGTTTCTAACATGCTCAGGATATACAGATACATTAAGCTTTCTGTACTCGACATAATCTATCCCTTTTAAAGATGAAACTTCGTTCTGAGTGAGCCCAAGATCGTAAACAACCAGTTTCTTGTTGGGAACGAATCGATGAAAATCGCCAAGGTGTGCAATGAGCTCATGAAAATGATTACTCGATATAGCGGTCACAGGCGCCATGGCTTCTATTAGCGAATCCATTGTCAATTTTTCTACCTTTTTTCCGCTTTCCAGTTGAGCCATAAGTTGCATCGCAAGACTGTAGATATGAAGACTCAGGTTGAACTCGATTCCTTTAACAGAACTGTTATGCGGATGAACATACTGTTGTAATTCTATCTTCGGTAATTCTGTCTTTTCTTGAAACTGTGCAGTCTTTGCAGTTGCTTTTTTCAGGTTGAACTCGATTCCTTTAATAGAACTGTTATGCGGATGAACATACTGTTGTAATTCTATCTTCGGTAATTCTGTCTTTTCTTGAAACTGTGCAATCTTTTCAGTTGCTTTTTTGTTTTCTGAAACTGGCCGGGACGGAAGGACCGTGAAAAGGAAGGTTACTATGAGAATAATGGCGATAATGCCAAAGCCAAAGACTTTCTTTCCAACCCTTAAAAGATTGCTCATGGTCAAAGCCAAGATAAATGTGTTTACAACCTAAGGGCAACTGACGCGGCGTGTTTCCATCTAGTACAATAAAGTGATGTCGTTAGACACCCAATATGAGCTGAAAGCGCCTGTGGGGGAGACTAACGTCACGCGTGAACCAAAACATTTCAAACCCCCAACACTTAACATTCAAGCCTGACTCCGGCTACGCCTCGTGGATCCACACTACTTTGACAAAGTGATGACGCAATTTATTGTCAATAAGAGGACAGACACATAAAAATCTGATGTCAATTTGTTAACCGTGCGTTAAAGTCGCTAATAAAAATACACATACACACACACACTATTCCTTAAACTTTAGTTTGATGAATTTCGAGTATTTCAGCATTTCGAGTTCTTGTTTTTATGATTGCTTTATTCTGTATCTGATTCCAATAGCGCAGCGCGGTTATTACGTCACGAAATATGATACCTTTCGCGTGACTCAGACAAACAAACCATCTCAGTAGAAGAGGAATGACTGCAAATATAAATACTTCGTATCTAAATCCACTTAAAACAGCTACAAACTTGACTGAAAATGATGGAGTTC